CAGATCAGTTTGTTTCAAAAATTTGAAAAACAACAGTTGTGAGCAATAAATTGAAAGAAATTAAGTTCCTTGCTGCAAAATATTCTGCAATGAAGAAAAGAGAATCAAGTGAAAGCATTATCAAGAGCAATAATGCTTTTAGAGTTGTGGGTTGAGCAAAGATCCAACCAAATATTTTGTATTTATTCAATGTTCCATTTGATGATGACTTTTTTGGCTGCTCACTATCTGCTTCCTTACTTGATTGGGGCCTAGTTTTGAAATAGAATTTTTTCAAAAAATTGAAATATGATAAAGCCCAGATAGTTATAATTTTGCAAACTTATTCAAAACATATCCAGGCTAGCTGACTTCTGTTTTAGCCTCTTTTTTCTGTACTTAACAACCCTTATCATTCCTAAGGAAATATCTTAATTCTATCATTCTCCCATTGCAAAAGAAAGATAAAGGCAGGTCCAACCAACTTTTTCAATAATCATCAAGCTTTGGGCAAGATTTCTTTATTAACAACATTTATATTGGATGCTTCTAAAAGATCTCCTGTCCTATAAACAGGCAGGATTCAGATCAGTTCTACAATACGTAGAGATCCAAAACTACACTATTTAACTGAAAATACTTCAGTCCTTCTGAGGTGCCCTTTATGTTGCTTTCATTGATTTAAATGTGGCCTTTGACTTTATTCTTCATGAGGCAGTTAGCCACAACACCCACCAACCACCACATTCTCAAGCGGATAAAAACAGTCCCGTACAAAGCAGAGGTACTTTATTTGTAATGGCACTGTAATAATTCCTTTCCCTATTTTTAAATGTGGTAAATGGGACTGTATTCTTGTCCCTTTATTATTTAATTTCTCTTGACAATATTGTTATGCCCCTCATTAAGCCAGTTTCAAGACTTGTCCATCAATCTGTCTCCATTCCACAGATGATGTGGTTATCCCATCCATAACTCAGGTGAACCTTTGCAGAAGCCTAGTTTCATTTATAACCTATTGTTCTGTGGGATCTCTTCAACTGACAAAAACTAAGGTTTAACTACTTTATAGTAAGCACTTCAAGTCTAAGATAGAAAATTAATAAAAGCTCAATTGAACAGATTAAGTACCCACGTATCCTCTTCTATCTTTCCACCTGTTTGGACTAATCAATTGAATGAACTCTGTATAAGAGCCCCAGACATCCTCAACACGATCCTTAAATAGGTGAACTATCAAGTCAATCATCATGTCCCTGCAGAAATTAAACTATATAAAGTGAAGTGTCAGCTTCCACTTTGGAAGCTATTCAGTCTAATTGTTTAAAAGCTATACTTTGTGTTTCTTGGTCAACTCACATGCCCTTATTTGGTTAGAGTTGGCTGTGTCTCTTTGGGAGCTTAACTCTGCTGTTCCAGGCTTTGGCTGAACAGATTTCTGAGGGTGTATTCCTGGTTATTAATCCCTATTAGTGGTTTACTTCATCTTTGAAATGGCAAACTGACTTTTAGTTGGCTTACTGTAGTTCCTTGATATGGGGATCACCCAGGGGATGTGTGGAGGTATGCAGCAATTGCGCTATAATATCAGTGAATAACTTTAACCTTATCATCCTGAAAGTGTCATGCCCCTGTTGGAGTCTGACTTTGAGGGAGAGGAGGAACAGCCAACAGGGAGTGGAAGTGTGGCTCCGGAAGTTGTGGAGGAAACTGGGGAAGGGCACAGGCCATCTAGGCAGTCAGAGGAAGACCCAGGCCCATCTCCTCTTCATCTTAGGGCATGCAGGGAGGAGAGGATAAGGGAGAAATGGGAATGGCGTGATCTACAGGGGAGGAAAGGGCCTCGATCCCTTTCATGGGCTGCAGCTGTGTGGACTGTTTAAAGGAACGGACTGCACATGGGCCAGTGCTGAAAATAAAATGTGAAAATGTTTCTAGTCTGTCCGTATCTGAGTTTGGTGTCCTTCCCAGTGTGTGTATTTTGATATCTGTGGACGTCTTCAAGCCCTTACCCTGCCTTGTCTCAATAATTGCTTCAATGTGATTTGTGTTTTGTTTTTTTCTATTTATAATTTAAATGTATTTTGAGTTTGAACAGAAGTTCTTCCTTTTCGCAACTGTTTGTGGAGGAGTTTTTTGTCTCCAGTCAATGATAATTGGAGCTTTAAAACCAAGTTGAAGGAATTAAAGAGACTTTACCTGATGTTGTGAATGTATTGCTTTTGTATCCCACCCTGGGTCATCACAGAAAGTCTGGATCCCAGATCTTTGGTTTAAGATCATCCCTTGATCTAAAGAAGGATCTTAAGATCTTAAACCAAAGATCTGGGACCTAGACTTTCAAAATGGTAAGGCCAAAGTTATTCACTGACATTATAATGCAATTGGTGCACCTTCACCTATTCCCTGGATGATCCCTAGATATGCTTATAGCACCGTATATATTCCTCACAGGAGAATTTTCACCTTTGTGTCAATTGGTGTATAATTATTAGGACAACACATGTAAATATTGCTCTTCCACATGATAAACATATTTGTATGTACAGGCCCAGGGATTAAGTCAGAAATTCATTGTCCATTATATCATCTATGGCATTTGGCACTGATGCCAGAAATGTTGTCTTTCTGACAAGAAGCTGCAGCCTTAAGGGAAAAGAAATCAGGAATCATTTAAAAGATTGCCAAGTTATCAATAATTACAGCTTGCAGAAACCAGTGCTGTTACTATTTTTGTTACTAAATGTTTGAGCTTTCTTTTACCTTGCACTACTGAATTTTAGTTTTGCTTCTATTTTCTTAGTCTGGGATCATAAATGAATACATTTAATTCTGATGCGCACTGAGGTCAAGATGAGAGAGAGCCAAGATGTGAAAAATGGAGAAGTTGGAAGACTTTAATCTTACAGTGCCTGGTCATATCTTGAATTCATCCTTTAGTAGTGTTAATTTTATTGAGCTGAGAAAAAAATCAAAATGCATTTCCTTTTCTAAGGAAATATATTCACAAATGTATATTTATATGCAGAAATGTCTTTTTTTAAAAAAAAAATCCAGATTAATGAACAAATTTAATGGGAGAAATATTGTATCTCAATGAATATTAATGAAAGTGACATGGAAAAAATGTTTTCTTACTTAAAACACAGAAGACAACAAACAGAAGGCATACACAAATTCAACATACAGATTTAAAGAGCAACACACACACACACACACACACACACACACACACACACACACACACAAATTCCTGGGTTGTGGTTTCCTATTTGCCAAAACAGATCAGAAAGTGGAAAAACAGGAAAAAATGAGTTACATTGAATAAAATGAGTTTCTGTATTATACTAAATATTGTGAGATATCAGCTACAAAGCTTTTGAGATTAATTCAAGTAATTCACATATTGTTTTAGTTGTAGTTTAAGTTACACGTAAATCCTTAAAATATCTTTATGGAAGTATATACTGATCCAGAAACAGGATTGCCTTTGGATAAAATTAGAGAATTATCTGTTATAGGCAGAAGTGAAATGGAAATAAAAATGAAAGAATATAGTGGGATGGAGGACAGTTTAAAGAGAAAAGGGTTGAGCATTCTGTAAAGATAGGCAGGTAGCTAAGGTAATTCTACCTCTAATAAATGTCTATCATGATAATGATGTTATCCATTCAGTGGAATCTAACTCTTGGCGATTCTATGGACCAGGTCTCCACATCTTCCAGTCTCCACATCTTCCAGTCTCCACATCTAGTTTTTCTGTGCTCTGGCTGCTGTCAGCTTTGATGGCATCCATCCACCCTGTTCTTCGATGGCCTGTTTCCTTTTACTCCTAAGACCTCCAAACATAATTGCTTCCTCCAATGAATCCCTCCCCTCCATGACACGGCCAAAGTGTAGATGCAGTTTCGTGATTTTCCATCAAGATAATGGTCTCCATTTAACATGGATATCCAACAACCCTTAGTTCAACTGTATGGAAGCTAAATTCATTGGGAAGTGAGTGTATGACCCAACTGTATTGGCATGTCTTCACCTATCCATCCATCCTACAAAACTGCCCTGTGCTTTGCTTTCACTTATAGTATCTTCCTACTAATGGATTTGAACCCTATGTACAAATGATAATGTTAATAATATAGAGTTCCAAGCTATGTGGTGACACATTTCTGTGAATACAAGTTAAGAGCCCAATGCTTACCTTCCTGTTGACTCCTTATTCAGGCATTATGCTGTGCCCATGACACAACGACATAGCAACCCAGGATATTTGCTTTTTAAGGAAGGAGAGAACAATGTCCTGTATGGGTAAACAAGTTCACTGTCATTATCAAACAAATCAATATCATGACCTTCAAGGTATGTGCACTTGTTTGGCTTTCTCCTTTCGGTTAATAAAGGAAGCTTTATTTTACACCTTCTGTTGTGTTTCACTGGGTTTTATGACTTTGAGATTATAGAATCGTTATAATGGCACCAAACCTGCTAATCCTCAATGGGGATAATTCAAAGAACGTTACTGGTTCCAGCTGCTCAGATGGAAACAATCTGAATTTATAGTTCTCCTGCTGACAATTGGCATAAAATGATTTACACTTTCCAGCATGGAGTCAAATTTTCATCGTTTAGGTGTTCTACTTCCTCACATATTACAATTTAGCATAATGATGTGATTATCTGTCAAATGTACAAGGGGATGTTGTTTGCTGAGGATGTCAAACTGCTATTTTCAGTGTCTCGGAGCAAGCCTTTGAGTTTATTTCCCTCAATTCTAGCATGTTGGTTCCAGTTCTTGTAAATAATCTTATTTTGCTTGGAGTCTTCAGCCCAGACTGGTTCCTGATCATATTAGCCTTTAACTCAGTTGGTATTACACAAGTTCTAAAAAGGAATGTTGTAAGAAATGTAAAACTGCTGCATTATCACATATTTATATATACTTTTAGATGTGGGTTCAGATTTATACTTGGAGTATGCTAAGAATAACGTAAATGCTATTTTCTAAGTAAGTTTTACACATTTACCTAGAAGATAGTATCAAAAATAAAGTATCATATGCAGTATATCATAAGAAACACGGGGTTTCAATGAGCAATAATTGTGCCTCAGATAAACCTCATTGGCTACAATACTGCCACTGCAAAGCTGCTGGGGTAATTCTAATAAAAAGAAGATAGTTCTAAACACTAGTTGCTATATGACTAATGAAACTCTTCCAAAGCAGTTAGTTTGTTTATTTTTCAAAGCTTATAAGTCAATCCAATCAATCTACCCTGAGCAACATACAGTTCTCTAAATTTATTCCTAAATTGCACTCAAGACATTGTTGAAGATATGTTGAATTGTGTCAACATCAAGTAAATGAAAAGACCACACAATCATCGTGAAAGTGTTTTCAGGTAACAATGAACAGACAAAGTTTCGATAACAATCACTTGCGTCAACTCCTACAATTTCAGTCAGCTGGACTGCTCAATGGAGAAGATAAAGAGCAGGTTGGAAACGCCAGTAAATATAAAACAGTTCTGAAGGTGAAAATATATATATATATATTTTCTAAAAAACTGAATCTCCATAGATGTAGTTCTCAGAGGAGAGAACACATGGAATGGTTAAAAAAATCAAGACAGTAATCACTTTTTAAAAAGTCCACCATGCATCTTTTAACTGAAGAAGCTTCTTGTATGAGAAGTGAAGTGTCTTCCTTCAAAGAAAAACAAAGAAGGTCCACTTGCTTTTTGAAAAAGCAATTTTGGGCCTCTGAGAACCATATCAATCTTTGGTACCCAAAAAATCAGATAGCACTTTCCAAACTAGTAACTTGAATGAATAGGTGAAAGTGGCAATTGAGAAAAAGGAACTAACATTTATGTTAGTCTAAAACAGCACGACCAGCAATACATATTTCTACATATTCTTAAATGCTTGATTTGTTAGGGGTTGCTATCAGTGAGATAGGTGAAATCATATTGGTTTCCCCTATTGTTTAAGTGACTCCATGCTGAGTTTGATGGTTTTCTTGCAGATGTTTCATGTAATGAAACGTTTGCAAGAAAACCCCCAAGCTCAGAGAGTATTAAGAACCCTGCAGTTCAACCAAAAGGGACATGGTGGCTCAGATGCTGAGCTTGTCAATCAGAAAGGTTGACAGTTCGGCGGTTTGAATCCCTAGCACCGCATAATGGAGTGAGCTCCCGTTACTTGTCCCAGCTTTTGTCAACCTAGCAGTTTGAAAGCATGTAAAAAATGCAAGTAGAAAAATAGGGACCCCTTTGGTGGGAAGGAAACAGTGTTCTGTGCGCCTTCGAAGGCATTTAGTCATGCCAGCCACATGACCTTGGAGACGTCTTCGGATAGCGCTGGTTCTTTGGCTTTGTAACGGAGATGAGCACCGCCCCCGAGAACTGGAAACAACTAGCACGCATGTGCGAGGGGAACCTTTACCTTTACAGTTCAACCCCGACCTACAAATATTCTCTTCGTTGATGAGTTCTTTATATTTTCCAGTTAAAGCAGAGGAAGACTTTACTTGAAAAGCAGAAATGTATCCCTAAGTCACAGCTTGACAAACAGCTCAAATTGACAAGCTAGAGTCGAAGAATATACAAACTGATAATTACACAAATGTTTAGAAGTATGCGAATAATTACAGAAAATGTTCACAAAGTAGTGTGGATAAACATCCTGGCATTGATAAGTGAAATTAACTGTAATGTGATAAAAGAAATCCATATTCTTATGGTTTAATCCTGTGTGATCTAAAAAAAAAAAACAACAACACCCATGTGTGAAGAAGACCTTAGCAGCATCTGTTTTGTTTCTACAGGTTTTATCATCAGTCTAGCTCTACTTGCCCAAGTCCTTTTTCACTTGTCAGGACTGAACTGTTGTGTCGAAAAGGAGATGTGTTAAATAGGAAAAGGCTTTCCTTCCAGGATGGAAGAATTTATCAATGGAGCTTTGAATCACTCTGTCTTCTGCAGTGGATTTGGGTAGCTTAGGAGTTAGTAAAAACTGAAGTGAACCTGAATTGAATTACAACTATAGATCAGCCTTCAGTTATGTATAACCTTGAATTATTGAACTACCCCGCACCCCCATGGAAAGTCCTAGAACATTAGCAATGTACAAATGATAAGCAGCCATTGAATATACATCCATGTATAACCCAGAAAACCATCATTTTCTATGTATGTATGTATTACTGCACCTTTATTACTTTTATAAACGCAAGGCCACAAACATATCTAATACTCCTTCCTCCTATTTTCCCCACAACAACAGCCTTGTGAGGTGAGTTGTCTTGAGAGAGAGTGACTGGTTCAACATCACAGCTGGCTTTCATGGCTAAGATAGGACTAGAACTTACAATCTCCTGGTGATTGGCCCAAAATCCCAGGTTTTAGCCTCGTGCCTTAATCACTAGACTAAACTGGTTCTCATATATATATATATATAAAATGTGTGTGCGTGTGTGTGCGCGCGCGCACGCGTGCACTTTGCCGTACTAGCGCTGTATAGTTTTGCAAACAATGTTCTCTATTTCTGTTTCTTCTGTATATAATTTACAAAGCAAGTTAAACTTTGGACTCGGTTTAATGGACCTAAATAGCAGAGTTTGAAAGCCAACAACTAAATCACCTACTGAGCTATACATTTCTAGGCAGGCCTGATGATTTACAAAATTTAATAAGCTCTTTCCTTATGGCTTTTCCCCCAGAGATGCTGCGTCTATACGAGCTGCTGAGAAGGTTGTCAGAGGTGTGCAAGCTATTTGTATAATGAAAATTTAGCATTTTTGTAGGAAATAGCATACATAGTCTCTGGCATTTGCTAATTCATTAACAGTAATGACATTTGCTGGCGGGATAGTAATCCTTATTCATTTTATTGCTTCTATGTTTTGTATAATTTAAGACAACTCTATAGGCACTTGAGAGAAGGGGGCTCGTATCTAAAGTTTGCTGCACCACTAAACTGAATTCACATCTTGGATTAATAGTCTTACTGTACAATTTTGCAGTTAGGGTTTTATGCACTGATAAATACATAGAGCAGAAGAGGTGAAATGAGGGAGGGAGCGAGGGAGCGAGAGGTGATCAGAAATATAGAAGTTGGGAAATCATTAGCGGTATTTATTTATTTATTTCCCATGTTTATTATTTTTATAAATAACTCAAGATGGGGAACGTATCTAATGCTCCTACCTCTTCCTACTTCCCCTACAACACACAGCTGAAATACAAGACTTAGAAATCACAGTATGCTGGTGATAAATAGGCTCAGCCGGCTCAGCCAGCTTTCATGCCTAATGTGGGAATTGAATTTACAGTCTCCTGACTTGTAGCCAGGGGTGGGATTCAAAATTTTTAACAACTGGTTCTGTGGCCGTGGCTTAGTTGGTAGGTGTGGCTTGGTGGTCATATTATTGGCTGGGCGTGGCCAACTCAATATCACTCATCTCGAGGCACGCATCTCCTCGCCTGGCCTCTCATGACTGTGGGGATGCTGCAACAGTCATAAGTGTGAAAAATGATCATAAGTCACTTTTTTCAGTGCCATTGTAACTTTGAATGGTCACTCCACACAAGAAAGTACCAGCAGAGGAAGGGAAAAAAAAACTCCAGAGACGTTCCTGAGACAGGAAGTCTAGTCCTGTCAAGAATGTAATAAGGGTTAACGGAGAGGCAGTTTCTGTAAGCAACACCAGAATGTTTCCTTCCTGCCTTCCTTACAGGATTAGGCCAGTAATTTCTTCTAACAATTGGTTCTCCAAACTGCTTAGAATGTTAACAACCGGTTCTAGCGAATAGGTTCAGACTGGTAGAATCCCACCCCTGCTTGTAGCCTTAACTACTAGATGGAACTGACTACATTTTTGAAGGAAAATAAAATGAGGAAGGAATGTCCTACCAATAAGAAAATATATTAAGAGTGACCAATGTCACCATATATTGACAGTGGTGCTTATGTGATGTTGTTCTGAGTTACATTCCTATCATCTCTTCGATCTCCATGCTTATGTCTAGTGAAGGCTTGTAGCATTACTTAAGTTGTAATATCTTCATGAAGAAATTTGTACTGATTTTGGCATGATTGGATCTACCAGAATAGACTATTCTGATCATATTACCTGTATATTTTTAAAAAATGAAGCTCAGACAACATTTTTTTTAAAGAGCACAATTGGTCACAATATTATTAAGAGGTATCTTCAAGCTTAATGAACCATTTATTATAAAGGCCGTTCAGAATGCTAAAAGAGATTTATTTGTGTGTTTCACGGATCTTTCCTATTTATTTTAAAACCCCTCAATTATGGAGGAGGAATTCATTATTTCTACATACATTTTCCACTCTCTTATAACAATACTTCGTGTGATGGAAAATGTTCTTACCTTTCAGAAAATGAAATTGTCTATGCAAATCATGAGTATCGCTAGGCACTTTCCCAGGGAGGAGCAATAATAACCTTTATTCTAAATCTCCTCTCGCAAGTGTTTTAATGTATACACAATTATTTCCTTGGATCTCATGTATACTTTTTACGAGTTACTGAGATTTTTTTTAAAGTACATGGTGCTTTATCTCAATTTAATTTGACAATTTGCAAGACAATTTGTGAGACAGCAAATTTGGCTATGAATCATTTAACAAATTCTCTTTCTCTCTTCCTTGCCTCCCAAAGATCTGAAATCCATTTGGTGTGGGAAGTTAAATACATTTTTTTTTAAGAAAAAGAGGAAACATATGTGAGTCAATTTTAACTCTCGGTGACTAGACTACATGAACAAAGACATGTGGTTTGCTGTTGCCTTCATCTGGGATATCCAGCATCAACCTTATCACTTCTAGATATAGATCCCTAACTCGATCATACTTTATCTGACAAGCCATCATTTTTGATAAACTCTGAACAGAGTGTGCAGGTTCCTAGATATTTTTTTGAAAGCTGCATTTTATCTGTCAGAGAAGATTGGGACAAAAGAAACGTATGACCCTCAAGATTTTCTATCAACCTTATCAAGGCCAAAAGAATCTGGGAATATATCTTAATAGTCTTTTTCCAAAAGCCTCAAAGTCCCGTTTTGCAATAGCTCACACAATAATCCTGTATTCTTTCTTCCTAATTTATTCTTGAAACTTT